GTCCCCCATTGTCCCACTGCTGTGGTGGGTGCAGAGCGCTGAGTTTCACCGCAGGCAGAGCCCTTGCCTCCCCTTGCCCCAGCAGGCTGCTGGCAGGTGTTTGTGCAGGGGCATCTCCTCTTGTCTTCCCTGGCAGTGGCAAAAGAGACGGGGAAAGTTCAGAGGCTGCTTTTCAAGGCAGAGCTAACTTCAGGGGAGGTCTGTGTTCATGAGACAGTCTGGGCACATCTGCAGAGAATGCAGCTGCATGAACCTGTCCTTACCCTCCTGCCTAGCCAGAGCTGCTCCCAGAGGCTGTCCCTAACGCCACAGCTCCAAATTGCTCTGCTTTTCCTACACGCATAGGACTGTGCTTTGGTCTTAGTGGTCAGCAACAGCTCAAGATTTGCAAGCAGTGTGGCACTTGCAAGTGGATTTCCTGGGTGCTTGGTGGTGTGGGCCAGCACCCAGGCAGTGGTGTTAGAGAGCACTACTGTGTCTGAAGCTCTGGTTGGTGATGACCAGGATGGCTGCTCTGGCCAAGGGCAGGGTGCCATTGTGTGTTTCAGAGGTCCCTGGGGACCCCTGGTGCAGCCAGAGGCAGAGCAGACGTCACCTGTAGAGGAGCAGCCATTTGCTCCTCACAGACCTTTGGGGCTGCAAGGATGCACCACCAGCAGCACAAGATGGCTCTGCACCCAAAGCCCCTCCATCCCTGGCACGCTACCCAGTGGTGCCAGTGCAGCCATGGGTGCCCTGCACAGGCATCCACCTGTATGTGCCAAAACACCCAGGTTGGTTGCAGGAGAGACCCTGATGCCTGTGACCCTCAGCACTCTTTCCTCCTGCTCTCCTGCCCTCTGCATTGCTCCTAAGGTAGCTGCATAAAAGTCAGGCAGTTTGACTTACTTTCTGCTGCCCTTGTACCTGCTTTGCATTCTCCTGGAATCTCCTGGGCTGTCAATCTCGTACCATCGCGGGCTCTCAATTCCCAGGGAAGCTAAACACATATATATTGCACAAAGAGATCTGTGGGCTGGCGCTAAAAATGGAATACACCTTGCTCTGAGTGCTGCAGCCGGCCTAGCAATACACTGGGTGTGAATTATGATACTGTAATTCAAGCTTTGTCAAACAGTAGGCCTTAATTAGAATATACATATAATTGTAAAAGCTAAAAAGCTGACGAGTACGATTGCGCGTTTGAGCTGCCTGCTACAAAAAATAATGAGGAGCGAATACATTAAGGGCACAAAACCCTTCTACCTTCAAAGAGCAGCTAGCTCTGATTAAAAATACCCCCAGCAAGGTGAGGGGAGTCGGGGAGAGGCAAGGGAGCTGGCTTGGCCATAACTCTCACCTCTCTTTTATGGCCTCCACCTGGCTCAGCTGTCGGTGGGTACCCCCCCACTCCCCATTCTGGTGTTGGGGGTTCCTGTTAGGTACCGCAAGATGTCCCAGCTCAGTTTCTTTTGATTGTCACATAAAACAAAAATATGGAAAATACATCTCATTTGACCATTTCCCCCCCTGCCGTAGACCTGCAGGCCTGCAGATGTTCCAGTGCCCTTGGCCAGCTGGCACCCAGGGCTTGAATTGCCTTCCAGCTGCCCCTGGGGATGTGTGTTTTCTCTCAGCAGCCAGAGAGGAGAGTTCTTTCAGACCCACTGAAATGGGGGGGGTGAAGGAAACCCTAACTAGCCTAGTTTTGAACCCTGGCGAAGATCCCAAGCTGGTCCCCAATACCAAGCAACCAGAGGGTTTGTGTATCAGTGGGTTTATAGCCCTGTAACAGGTTGCAGGCAGCGTAGGTACATCCTGCAGTGGAGGTGGAACATCAGGGCATGGATGACCCTGATTGCTGAGCATGCAGTACAGACAAACACTTCTGCAACTCAGCAGCGGGCTGCCTATGAGCTCTAGTATGGAGGAGCATGGCCAGCTTCTCCCAGAGAGTGTAAACTCATCATATAGAGGTTCTCTCTGCTATGCATGGGTTCCTGTCAGAGGATGGGCTTTTGGAACCCGGGAGACCCACGTCTCCAGAGATCATGGAACACAGTGCAGGGAGCAGCAGTGCTGCCTCCCAAAACCCTGCATTTGCAAGGTGAACACATGCGTGCAAAGGGCTGGTTGGGTTTTAAGCATCTCACTGTGAAGTGCTGGGTTTGTTACCACCTAATAACTGAATAAAAGGATAAGGAGGCGAGCATTCAGCTCTTATCTGTCGGAGCGAGCGGGCAAGTTTGCGTGCCTTTGACGGCAGCACTGTTATTGATCCATAAAAGGTGTAATACATCTCTATAACACCCTTTGTATGAAATAAAGTTGTTGCCAGCTTCAATTAACTGGCAATCTATTACTAATCCTCACCAGTGCCTAGGGGATTCCTGGGTTTACATTGCCCTGGAACAGGATCTCAGTTTGCTATGGGCAGCGGTTGGAAAGCCCTAGGAAATGGGCTGTGCCAAGCGCTGCAATTCCTAGGGAAGGTTGTCCCGGGTGATTCAGCATGTCAACAGTTTTCCTAACCTTCACATGGGCTGCGTGCACGCCTCTCCCTAGCAGGGTGGGATTCCCCTGGGATGCGGTTGCAGCTGGGACATGTTAGCGGCTGCTGGTTTACATCAGTCCCCTGAGGATGGAGGGCCCTGAGGACCTTTCATCCCCCTGGACCCACTCATGTGCCAGCTGGCTCTTGGAGAGTGATTCTGGAATTGGCACACTCCTGTTGTCCTGCATGGAGAGATACCGAGGGAAGCTGTCACCAAACCCAGGGAGGTGTAAGTGCTGCTCAGTCAGGGGGTCCCATGAGCCCCTCAAAGCCAGGCTGGGGGGAGCCCATTTCTTGGGGTATTCACATTCCCTGCAGGGCCTGTGTCCCTACCACGGGGTGTTTCCATGCACTCCCATGAGCACCCACTTGCCCTCACTTGGTGTTTGAGTTCACACATCAAAGATGATGTGCTAACATCAGGACTCAGCATGCAGCAAATCAGCACCCTTAACATCTATTTAATCATGGAGAGCAGAGGGAGCAAGGGGGAGAGGGAAGGGATGGCTCCTGGCATACCAATGCGAGTCGTGGTGCTGCCACTGCATCTCTCCGGCCAGCTTGCCCTGCCTGCTGCAGAGGCAGAGGGAACCAAAATGAAACATAGTGATGGTTCATTTCCCCAGTGGAGTTTGTAGTGCTTCTCATCCTGCCAGAGACACACCACAGTTCTGCTCTTCCACCTTTTTTTGAACACAGTTTACAATAGAAAGACAAGAATGACAAAGCCCTGCTGGTTCCTGAAAATCCAGTAAACACTGGGGAAAAAGCCATGCTGGGAAAGGGAGCCTGCATGAAATTGACAGAGTGGCAAGCTTGGGGACAGTTTGCCACAGCAGTAATGAGCTTGTGGGGTCTCAGGAGGGATGGGTAGTGATTTAGCAGCACCCATCCAAGCACTGAAGCTGGGCAGTCGTGTTTTTTGGCACCATGGATGGTTTCACCTGTTACTCTGTTTGCACTTAGACCACTGGATAACTCTGCAGCTTCATCTGGCCTGTCTCATGGTGACAGCATTTCACCAGCAATAAGGCCCAAGAGGCAAATACTTTGGCAAGGAGCAGAGGGGTGTGCGGAGAGGCTGAGGGTGCTGAGCACAGCCCTGCCGTGCTGCTGTATGGAGCAAGGGGCTCATTCCATGGATTTCACATAGTAGTAACTGGGCTACACATGCAGTGGGTGACCCTCCACCAGCCGTTCCTCAGGCTCACAGCGGAAGCATTGGCATCCTTCCTCTCAATAAGAAGCATGGCCCCCTGACTGGGACATGTGTTTGTTACTTACCCCCAGCAGCAGTTCCACACCAAATGCTTTGCCAGGGGAGAGGAGCCCGTAGCAACTTTCCAGCCATTTAACTTGCCCTCAGATTTGCTGAGCGTACATCTGAATAGACAGCAACTGAAACGAGGTGTGATGTGTGAGTGAAACCCAGCTGGAGGTGTTCTGGTACTGAGTGACCACTCTCAGTTCAAGTTTTTCACCAAAACACTGATACTGCTTTCCGATGGACTGGTGCCTTCCCATTGTTATTGTCCTTGTCAGTAAAGCTTTAAATTTATTCATGAAGCACGCTGGAGCTCAGGTGGCAATAGCTAAATCCATTTAGCAGTAGGAATAAGAGGAAAGCCATTTTAATGTTCTCTTGCAGTGCTGCAGTACTTAGCAAACCCAAAGGATATTAATTACTCAGCATGCTCTGAGATGTAAAAGCATGAATTTATCAAGACAAATACATTCAGAACTAGGGTAAGTCAATAGTAATTAACACCACGTATAAAAAGGACAGAGAAAGGAAGGATTAGCTGGCCCTGTTGCAGGAGAACATGGAATAGTGCCGAGTTATCCCTAGGATATTATGAAGTGGCTGGAGTTGTGGTGAGGCACCTAACAAAAACCCCTGTCTGTCCCTGTCAGGTGTATCCCTGGGATGGGGATTTAGGCCTGGTTTGCATTACCAAGGCAGAGTGATGCGGGAGGTCTCTGAAATGCTAAGTTGTGCTTGGCAGGCAGCAGCAGCAGCATTTTCATGCGAAGCCTTTGATGTTGGAAGGCACTCGTGAAGAAGAGGTGCAGAGGGCTTTTTTGTTTCTCACCCGGTTTGTCTGTGCTGTCCCAATGTTTTCATGGTGTTTAGCAAACATATAATCGTGAGCACAGCCACAGATGAGTGGCAGCCCGAGAGATGAATTGGTAGGCTCTCCTTGACAAATTTAAGCATAGCGTGTGTTTTTATAGCGCATCCATTAGGGCAGACAAACGGAAAATCCAGAGATGACTGCTCTGCAATTTAACAGTCACAGCATTCAGAGGAGGCTGATGTCTTCCTCATCACTGGTGATGGGTCAGGCTTGGAAAAAACTAGCAAAAAACTAAAGCAATTTGAGCAAATGAATCTGACCATAGTGTGTTTAAAGGCAGTTTGCTTTGTGCGGAGCAAGTACAACCACTGCTGGTTCTTTGTCTCCAGGTCATGGGGACAAGCTGGATGACTTTGACCTAGAAGATGCCCTGTATGACCACACCACCAAGCGACGTAAGTCACACTTATTTATTGTTTCAAAGAGGAGAAAACAAATAGATGTTCATGGATGCAATTTGTTCTTTGGGATCTGGTGCTGGTGGGAGGGTCATGGAGGACACAGACTACCTCAACTTCTCTGCCTGAGGAGATGCAATGTCCATCTTGGCTTGCCAACAGGTAGGACTGGGAGATGGGCCTGGAGAAGCTGGCTGTTGACCATGTGCCCTTCACTTTCTGATTCCCATGAGCAAAACACAGAGGCATGGCAGTGATTTGACGTGGCAGTGACACTGGACATGTCAGTGAAGGGTCTGGAGCTGGGTCACATCTCACAGTACTAGCGCACTGGAAAACAAGCCCAGCAGAAACACTCCAGTATTCAGAGGCACAAATAGAAGTTAATGGGAATAGAGCAGCCACAACTCTTGCTTATAATTTATTCATATACTTGGCAATGGTCGTCGCTATTAATAGGCAGTCCTTTACAGGGGTGAAAAAAGCAAATGATCCCTCCCTCTAAAGGCTGACTGTAGCTTGTTTTAGCCCAGGAGCAGCCAGGGGAGATGGGATCTGAGCATCAGCATGCCACCAAAACTCCTCTAGCTGACAGGGAACCTCCCGTTCATAGCACAGGGCTGGAAATTATCTGTCATTTAACTGACTGACCGGGCAGCTTACTCTTGTTTTCCACAGTGTTCTGTACAGTGTGTGTCCTTGCTGCTGCCTTCAGGAGTCGGAACAGGGAGCAGCTTATCACAGCTCCCTGCTTTCGGCTTGGCAGGATGCTGGCCTGCACAGAGGCAGTGTTCAGCCCCAGGCACAGCTGCGCCCTGCAGAGCTCTGGGCTCAGTCCTGCAGGGTTTTGGGGCTCTGGGCTCTTGACTTTACAAACGCAGACCGGCGATGCTCAGCTGGAAAGCTTGTAGCAGAATGTCAGCCCTTGATTCTCAGACAGAAGTGATGTGTTTTCAGTGATGTCCATGACTAAGGTTTTCCTCTGGTTTGTCACAGCGACTCCCATGGGCCCCAGGAAGCCGGCAGGTGATACAGGTGAGACCTTCTTGTGTGTGTATCATTTAAGCACAGTGTGGGGTTTGCTTCCCAGGGGGGGTTGAATCATGTGAGCCCCACTGCAGGCTGCCCGCGTGTGGCTGGTGCTGATTTGGGGCACCTTCACTTGCCTGTAAGAAGGCTGGCACTGGTGTACATACATGCACTCCCCTGCAGGGCCAGAGTAAATGCAATATTGATATTTCTGTCCATGCTGAAGGTGAGTGGCAGTGGAGCATTCATGTCCAAGGCTGAATTTTGCACAGTTTGCAGTATCATAATGGAAAAGGCACAAATCACTGCTCAGCTACACGAGGGCTTTTGTTTCTGGCTGAATGGCACTTGCTAGCTTTCCTTCCAGGAGGGAGCCCAGAGGATATTTTCCTTCCTTTTTTTTCACTCCAACCTCCACAGAAAAGCCCAGCCTGGTGACGTTTCTCCACCCAGGGAAAGAACATCTCTCTGACTGTGCCCATCAGATGTGCTGGCTGGCTGGCTCCACGGCATCTGCCCTGGCTGAGGAAGCTCCTTAAATTCACCCGAGTTTCACTGCTGGCAGCTCCTCTGGCTCAGCTCTGGCCAAATATACCTACTTAAATATAGCACGGTCACAAGAGCCGAGGGTTGCTCAACCCTGCTGGGGCAGCCTGAAATAACCTGCAGCGGGGGAGTGCTCGGAAGTGAATCTGTTCACCCCTGCATCAGGATCTTGGCACAAATTTAAGCAAATCCGACTGTCCAGCTCCTTGGCCACCACGGTCTTTGCTAGGGTTGAGAAGAGACAAGAGCCAGAAGCACGTGCAGCGCTGCAGGGTTTAGATCACAGCCTGAGCAAGAGCCTGTTTGATCCAATAAACTCTCCCTGGGAAATGGACGTACACTGAGGCTGAGGTTTCATCTCACCAAGTTAATTCTTCCCTGGGGAGTGCTTTTTGGATGAGTGATGGCACCAAGGGCTCCTGTGGTGTGTTCCTGTGCTCTGTTCAGCCCAGGGTCACTCACGGGTGGCCACGCAGGGAGCAGAGCAGGGCCCAGCCACTCGCTTGATGCCCACAGCAGCTTCTCATCTGCACCAGAAGATACCCCAAAAGTGTTATTTTGGGGTTCAGCCTTGGGGTGGGCAGGAGCCACAGCTCAGGGAGGAGGAGTTGAACAATGTCCAGGCTGATCTGAAGGCTCTGCAACATGGTTGTGATTGAGCAGCGGAGCAGCTGGATGCCCTTTTCAGCTTCACACTGGCACAGGTACTTGTGGCCTCCAGCAGTCGTGCAATAGCAGCTGCAGAGCTGCCATGCAGGGGTCGCTGCTGGAAGCCTCTCACTGTTCCACAAGCGATGGGTGTTTTAACAATCCCTTTTCTCCTGCAGCAGGCTTTGATTTGGCTGATTACTTTGACACCATTCCGGAGACTACCACCAAACCAGCCAAGCCGACTCCAAAGCCTTTCCCCAGGCCAGGAAAGCCAGGTACTGTGAAGCATCCTGTGCCCTGTGAAGGGTGCATGCGTGCCCGCCTTGGGGCTCTGGACAGGGGAAAACACTCCACAGGGAGTGTTTTCACTCACCGATTTCATCAGTGAAGTAGAACATCCATACACACATCCATAAGCATCTTTTCGGTGGTGCCTGGTCCTGCTCCTGCATGCCATGGGTAGCTGGTAGGGTTGGCGTGGGACTGGCCTCACACTGGCAGAGCTCTGATGAGCGGGTCGCAGCATGAATCCCACTGGCACATGTTTGGGGAGGGTTTTCTGGCAGCCCTGCTTGTCCCTTTCCCAAGTTCAATCCCTGCTGGCACGTTACGTGGCTCAGGGGATCCCTGTGAAGGCACCCACCACTCACATCGAGAGCTTGAGCATCCCCAGGGCACCAACAGGCAGTGGGGTCCCTGGTGTCAGGGAAGCTGTGTAGGGCTCAGAGCACAGAACCAACCACTCCAGCACAGCCCTTGTCTCCCTGCAGGGAGGGGGTTCCCCTCCCAGCACTTGTCCGAATGCATGTTTCAGAGAATAACGTCATTTTGGTCTCTTTCTCCCAACTCCCTTCAGACAACAGCTTTTGGGATGTCATCCGCACCACAACCAAGCAGCCAAAAACTACGAGGCCCCCCCCCAAACATAACCCAGGTGAGTATGAGCACCCCAGCCCTGTGGCTCCACCCCAGCTCCGCTGCTGGCGCGGACAGAGGGATGTGCCACAATGGCAGCACTGCCAACAAAAACCACATGGCAGACAGGGTATCTTGGCTTTGCCCTGCACTTCCCTGGGCACCCCAGCAGTTCCTGGACTCTTTTGCATTCTTCTGCCTGTTTTAAGGCCATGGGCTTGCTGTGCCACCCAGCATGGCACAACACAGCCATTCCAGGCTCCACCAGCATACCATCCCACCAGGACACCCTGTCAGTGGGCGCTTTGCTGCCGGTTCAGGCAGAGTTTGGGCAAAAGGCACTCCCAGGCTTAAAAAAATACCCTAAAAAAATCAATTTTGGTGTGAGCTGGCAGGGGTGAGGAGCTTGGGTTGGCTCTGGACCATGGTTTTAGCTGTGATTTAGCAAAGGTAATAGCTGATCTGTCAGAGCCAGGATGCTCAGGGCACCAACTGGGCCATTCACAGAGGAAAACAGCACCAAGCCATCAAGTTGCAGACTGCTCCAACTGGCATGTCACTGTGGCATATTCTCCTCCTTTCCCTCCACCCTTGGGAGCACTTATTTGGCTCTGACCTTTCCTACCCAGCTTCATTTATCTGACTACCTGGCACTTGAGCCACAGTGTGGGACTCTTTCTATGGGAAGAATGTGATATTTCTCACCACACATGAAATGGGATGGGGTTGGAAGGTTTGCTACGATGCAGCACAGCAAAACCAGGAGAGATGCTTGTGTTGGGGGCATCATCTCATTCATCAGCGCTTTTCCCTGGCAAAGCTGAGCATTTCTATGAGGCACTGGCACAGGTTGCCCAGAGAAGCTCTGGCTGCCCTATCCCTGGCAGTGTTCAAGGCCAGGTTGGATGTGGGTCTTGGAGCAATCTGGTCTAGTGGAAGGTGTCCCTGTCCATGGCAGGGGGCTGGAACAAGATGATCATTAGTGTTCTTTCCAACCCTAACCAGTCTAGGATTCTATGATTCATTAATTAATTGAAGGACAACCCAGCCTGTGGCCAGCACTGCTAACCCCTGTGTCATTTTCTAGCAAAGAATCCTATGGATTTTGACTTGGCTGATGCCCTTGATGATAAGAACGATGGGAAAGATGCTGGGAGGCCGAACATAAGGCCAGATGAAGGTACGTTCACTTCCCCTCTCTGTGCTGCTGCCCCTCAGGCCCTGCGGGAGATCCACCCAGGAACAGGATCTCCTGGCAAACAACAGGGTAGGGGAGAGCAGAAGTGCTGCCTTGCCCATGGCTGCTGCCCGCACCAGCGTGCCCTGGGGGGATGCGATGTGTTGCAGGCAGCACAGTCCCTTCCTCCAGGGCAGAAGGAGCCCCTGCCTCTGCCATCCTTGGCAGAAAGAGCCTCTGCCTAATGACCTGTTGCCTGTCTGCAGGTTCCTTTCCCAGGGCCTCTTCTGACCCATTAAATTGTGGTGGTTGTGTTAAGTTCCCCTCGTCCTGTACCTGACAGCTCTTTAACCAAGGACATGTGCTGTTGGGGTTCGCAGTCATTGCCAAAACATAAATCTAGAGCAGGCTTAAGTCCTGGCATAACATACGCTACAGGCTGGGAGATTTTCTTTTCCGCCTCTAAAATACTCTGGTGAATGAATCATTTGTCTACGAGGATTGTTCCCTTGAGCTGGAAACCAGACTTTGCAAGGCTAGTTTATTGATGTCGAGATGGCCGTATACCCTGCTCACATGCGTAATTAATAGTCAGGTATTTTATGAGATTGAATTAACTGGGTGACTTGTCTGCACTTTGATATTCTGGGCTTGTTGAGGTTTCAGGCTCCTGTGAGGTGTTGAACTGCTGGAACGTGGCGTGGGTCACAAACCAGCGCACGCGTTCCCTGGCATCACTGCTCCCTGGACTGCCTGGGACCGCTCTGCGTTCTGGCATAGCCAGGGTGTTTTTCCACTTTACACTCATTACTAAGCCCATAAATCTGTTTCTGTGGTAAGCTGGTGAATGAGGCAGCCTCCTCCAGGCGTCAGGGCAAAACTAACCCTTCAACAGGCGCAGCATCAGAGAAGGAGCCTTTTGCTGGCTTAACTTTGGGTCTCTTCTCTCATCATGCTCCTTGCTGCGCCCCTCTGGGACTGAGCTAAGGGGTTCAACAGCACCACTCATTCAGCTGCCAGTTCCCAGGCTGTGTTTCTATGTGCTTATGCTGCGTGAGTTAAGCACGGCTAGGATGAATGGGGCTTTCAGCAGTCTGGTCTAGTGAAAGGTGTCCCTACCCATAGCAGGAGATTATAACTGGGTGAGCTTTAGTGTCCCTTCCAATCCAAACCATTCAAGGACTCCCATTACAACCGGGTCCAAGATAACATTTTAACCTGTACCAAGATGTGCTGCTTCTCAGTTCTTCCACTACAGCGGCTCTGTCCCTCTGGAAAGGGGGAAAGTCAGCTCCATTCCTGCAGGAACGTGGGCCATGTTGGCCCACCAGAAGCAGAGTGGCCACTGCATACACCAACTGCTTCTTCCCCCCTCCACTGCCAGCCAAGTCTGAGCAGCCAGAACATCTAATGAACTCATAAATACATCAGTCATTTCAGTTAAAAAATAATACACTAGTATTCAAACTTCGATTCAGGTTCTTTCTTTCAAACTAGACTTAAAGTCAGTATTATCTCTTTTATAAGCTTAAAACAATTTGGGGTTGAACCTTTTGTTAACATCTGGTATCACAAGAGAAGTGGATCTGCTTATTGACCTGTCCCTGTTCTTGCTAGCGATGGAGTAGTCAGCAGACTGGGTGCTGCTGGTTGAAATGGGTGTGCAGGCCCCTGCTGCACAGAAAGCCGCGCACAGCTCTTCAGAATAGCCAGTTTTAGAGAAAACAGTGAAAGGAACAGAGCAGCTTCTGCCTGCCTGGAAGGGAACCATGCCCCAGGAGCAGGGTTTGCAGGAGGCCAGTCCCACCCTGGGTGCAGGGTGCGCGCAGGTGACCTCTGCCCAGAATCCCCCAGAGTCCTATTCCCAGGCCCTGCCCATTCAAAATCACTCAGGTGTTGGGATCCCTCTCACCCCAAGCAAGCCATGTGCTGTTCTTCCTTCCTGTTACACTTTTCTAAGCAGCTCTGGCTGCATTCGCCTTCCCAGGATGGCGGCTTTGGTGTTTTGCTGGGTGAATCTGGCTTTGTGCAGGTTGAGGGGTGAGCTCCCACATTCCTCCTGCCAGGACTGCATCTCCCTTCAGCACCAACCCCTGTTCACTTGTTATCTTTAAAGGGTTTTCAGACGATGACCTGGCCAGCATTGTGGATGGCGGCTACAGCCCGGACAAGAAGAAAGGTAAGCACCGACCTACAGATGCTCCCTGCTTGCGCAGCTGCAGCTCGGGCAGTAATCAGCAATAACCAACCTCCTAGGAAGCACAGTGCACAGAGCAGCACTTGCTTTCCTGTGGGGAAAGGGGATCTGAGCCATGGGGCCAGGGGAACACAGTGGTTTTGGCCTCTGTGGTCCTTGTACCAGCGGTTGGGGTGCTTATTTGTGATGCCACGGAGGCTCTGCACTTCCACCTGCCACCTGAGACCCACATCTCCACTATCCCCTGGAGAGCAGATGCTCACCCCTGTGCTGTGGGCACGAGCCTGCATTTGCCTTCTGCCATGCGACCACGGATGGTCGGAGCAAGGAGGGAAACCAGCAACAGTTGTTAAGCCTGTGCATTTGTGAGGATCCACAGCATTAAATATTAAACGCCACCAAGTAAAGAGAGGAAAACCACAAACCCAATCAACATTTAATGAATCCCTGTGCCAAGGACAAACCGCATCAGAGGCATTAATACAATGCTGACCTGCTTCCATAAATTCAGGATCTAAAGTGACTCGGCAAGGACTGCAGCTTCCTGCAGGAGCAGCTTCTCCTTCCAGCCCAGTTTCTCCAGGGAAGGTGATGTTAAACCAGACTTCAAGCCAAGCAAGGATTCCCTGACATTATGGAGCATAGCCAGTAACCTCCTTGTCATGGCGCGAGTCTGCTGTGTAATTGTCTGACAGCATTTCATTTGTTCTGTCTTTATGCTGAGAGCAGCAGAGGTGTCAGGGGGTGGAGGTGGGGTTCACTGTGTGCTCGCAGAGGTGTCTCCTGCAGAAGCTCCTGCAGCACAGTGGGATAGGAGCAGGTTTAGACCCCTCTGAGAGGCAAGGATGAGCTGCAGAGGTTTGGGTCAGCAGAGAAACTGTGCCCCACAGGGATATGTGCCCCCCTTCTGCCCAGGGGTGCCCCTGGGACCGTGCTGCCCCTCTCCTGCATCCCTGCTCTTTCTCAGGATGGGAAGGGATGGCAGGGGGGAGCAGATGGGCAGGGGGCTGTCATGGGTTTGTGTCTCTTGCAGGTAGCGGGGGCAAAACCGACAACGACTACAGTGGAAGTAGGTACCACCATGGCCGTGGGGCCAGCAGTGGGGCTGTGGGATGGGGGTGTGTGTGCCCCCACCTCACAGCACCCCACTCTCTCTGCACCCCACAGGCGCAGTGACAGATACAGGGACAATTGCTGGCATTGCCAGCGGCCTGGCCATGGCGCTCGTCGGGGCTGTCACCAGCTACATCTCCTACCAGCAGAAGAAGTTCTGCTTCAGCATCCAGCGTAAGTCCCCCCCCACCCCAAGCATCTCAGGGGCACAGAGCAAGAAAATCCCTATTTGCCCCCTGAGCCCTGCTGCCATTTTCTAGCCTGGGGACAGGAGTGGGGTGTCAGGCATGCGGTAGCAGACCAAAACCCCAGCCATGGGTCATTGAAACCCCTCACCTATCAGGGCAGGAACCCACCAGCAGCAACATCCCCAGGACCCATTGCAGAGTCTCTTGCAGACAGTCACAGCCAAAGGTAAAACCAGCAACACCAAACAGGATAAATAGAGATAAAACCCACACCACCCCAACACAAACAAACCAAAACCTTCTCTTCCCCCTCCCACAATCTCAGCAAGAGGTAAAAACTCACCGGTTAGTAGCAGCAGAGGAAGCACAGCAACCATCTGCAGCTCCAACAGCCCTGGGTGGCAGAGCCCACCCCACCCTGCTGCAGGTGTGCAGCAATCACTGCAATTAAGTGCAAATTAAGCAGCAAAACTTCCCGTTCCCACAAAGCACCGTCTGCACGAGCTGCCCCATCAGGTTGCAGGAGGTGTCCAGCAGCATCAGTGGCCTGGGCCATGGGAGGCTCCTGCAGCCCTCATGGGGTGGTTGCAGACAGCTGGAAAAAGCTCTTTTTAAATGAATCAAATGAAATGTTCTGTGAGTCTCCTTCACTCAGGGGGAAGGGTCTTCAGGGTTGGCGATTTCTGTTGGAATTGTGCTATTTTCCCAGTTGTGCCTGAAACAAACAGGAGCATTTTGGTAAATTAGATCAGCAGGAAAAGTCAAATGAATGTGATGGAATGAAACACCCGTGTATATTCCCCCCACTTAAATGATATTTTGGCAAGAATAAATAATAATAATAAAAAAAAGAGTAAAGGCTTTGATGAGGGGGAAGCTGAGAGACACAAAGCCCCAGAAAGGCAGCAGGAAATTAAAGTTAATTATAAAGGAGGATTAATTTAAGCCATCAGACATGGCATGCTGGGCTAATGTCAGGCCTTAGATGCACTGCAATGCATGACAGAAATCTGAGAGCCGTCAGCCACTGCAAAAGTGGCTTTTTATTGAAAAACATAAATTGCATTTGGTGTTATCCCAGCAAAACACATGTCTTGGGGGGGGGGTGGTGGTGGTGGAAAGCAGTGCTGGTGTATAATGACCACCCTCCTGATGCTGAGAGGAACGGGCTCAGCTCTTTTCCTTGCCCACCCATCAGCTGGAGTGAGGCTTTGGCACCGTGTCTTGGGTTTCGGTCTGTTCTGCTGGGTGTTTGCTGATTCCTCTGCAGGATGTGCACATCATGTTCTTCATCCCACTTTCTTCTCTCACACCACATCTCCTACTCGTGAGCCATGCCCTGGGCTAGGGCTCAGCCTCCTGTGTCCTGCTGCAAGCCTGGGCAGGATGGGAGCTGTTGGTGCTGCCCCGACCGCTCCTCTCCTCCACAGCTCAGTAGCTGCAGTGTCAGTGCTGCAATGAGGGTTTATGGTTTTTTTTTTAGCCAGTATATATCTATAACTGCTGCCCCATTGCTACATGAGGGCTCCCATTGCACCGCTTTGATTTACTCCTGGCAACTCTCAGTACAGATGAGCCCCATCAAACCCTAGGGGTGAGGCATAGCAGGTCCCTGCCACGCTTTGTGCTGCATTTAGATGTGTAAACAAGTTTAGATACCTGAACAGTGCGTGTTGCGTGGATGCAGCATGGATAGCCTCATCCTCCTTTGGCACACCAGCAGAGCCACCTCCCCTTCCCTCATCCATCCCTGTTTGAGATGTAGCATTCCCACCACTGCCTTTTTCTCCAGAGGGGTCCTTTAGAGGAGCTGTAGAGGCTGGCTGAGGCCCATGGTACACCCAGGACAGTCTTAGCTCAGCCTGCAGCTCTGAGATGGGCCATGGTGAGCGGTGCTGCCCCTTCCCCTGTGCAATTGCACATCCCCGCAACTGCCCGCCAGTGCCCTCCGCTGCCCCTCAGCCAGCCTGTGCACTTGTGAACACTGGAAACTTCTTTGCATTTAAATAAGGGACCTATTTGGGATTTGAGATCCCACTGGAATCCTGCCTCATCAGCACAGCCCTGCTCTAAACTGCCTCTTGCAGCTCTGCATAACTTAGCTTTTAATGAGAGTGATCCTGTCTCTCTGTGCTCGGACCTGTCCGGAAGATGTACCCACTCCATGCTCTCCTAGTTGAGTGCCTCAGTGCAGTAAGGAGCCTTGCTGCCTCGCAGGGTAAAGGTAAAGCAAGAGGCTCAGTAAAAAGGGCTGCTGCTAGAAGCTGTGCCTTCTAGGCAAGCCTCTCTGGTCACTTGATAATCCAGGAATGCTTTCTCAGCACCGTTGATGGTTTGCTGATGTTTCCATACTGCTGTTAATGCAGAGGAGGTTGCAAAAAGACATCTTTGCTTTTACAGCAGGTAGGCCCATTACCAGAGTGTTTAAGGCATCAAAGCAAATCAGTGTAACTTTCTACCCTCCCATCTCACTTTCCTTATTGTTACTTCTCAGAGGGACTTAACTCGGAGTATGTGAAAGGAGAAAACATGGAAGCTGTTGTAAGCGAGGAACCCCAAGGTGAGAACCTTGCATTCCTTACTCTTGTCTGTGTCTGGCCCCAAAGGCAGCTTTACTGAGGGACTGTAGGAAAGCCCCTCGTGCTGCACCATGTCACTGTAATGAAAACACCACTTAGGAGATAATGCAGCTTTTTAGTTTTTCCCCTTTATTGCCCACAAAGCAAAGCCATGGTCAGAAACCAGAGAGCTCATGCTACAAATGATGGCATTTAATAATATGTGGTTTCAGCCATCGAGAGTGTCTCATACAAGAAAATCATAATCAAGGCTGCTGCAAAGGCTTATTGAATGTCACATACAACCAACCAGTACTGGGCCCCAATTGCTTGTACTCAGGTCCCATCATGTGCTATTGTATTCATGACTTTTTCTTTCTCCCCAGTCAAATATTCAGTCCTGCAAACGCAGTCAGCAGAACCACCGAAACAGGACAGTGCGAAGATGTGAAGCATGACCCAGGGCTAGAAAAGAAGCAGTCAGCAGCAAATGGAGATCTTACATGTTTGTAATTTAGCATTTTATTTAATTTGACTCCAAAGCTATTTAATGTGTACTTAGGCTTGAACTGGCTTCTTATTGCTCTAGGCTTTAGGGTTAGAGTGGTTGTGTGTGTTTATTTTTTGTAAAGAAGTACGTGTTTACATCAAAGTAAATGGTGGGTTTGATGTCCAGGTGAATGCAAACCAGCAGAAGGTGCTCCAGCAGTGGCCAATTTTAAATGAACGGACAAGGTCTTTTCCAAGGAGCAGAGGAGCTTACAGGTGGGAGGCCAGTAAAGTGCCTGTGAATAGCAATCCAAAGGAAATGAGTCAAAGTCTTTGTAAAGCACCTCCAGCCAAATTCTGCTATCAGCTATGGGCATGTTTCTTCCAGCTGCACATTTCCTAAGGGTAGACTGTGGTCCTTAGTATAGCTACATCTAAAAATGAAGTGCCTATGGGTAGGTCCTCAGGTGAGGCCTCAGGCTGAGGCAGGTGACTGCCTGCTCCCAAGCCAGGAGTGGAGGATGCTGTTCCACCACCCAGCACTGGGCTTCTAACCAAATAAAAGGAACTGATTTTCACACCAAGTCATAAATACAGCAGTGAGTGCTCACTTACAGCAAATACCATTGGAATATTTGACTATGTTAGAGATCAGAATGGAGCTGAAGGTGCCAAGCAATATAGTTTGTCTGTGCGACGTGTCTACATTGTCTCCAAAATGGAAAATGTGTGCGTTTGGATGCTTTCACGAACAGGTTCAGACCTCACTAGAACAAATGACAGATTTAACCCCACAGAAAATAAATAAACAGATTAGGTATCTGTTAAGACCTGTGTGCTTGCTACCACAGAAATCAAGCTTAGCAAGATGCAGTCCCCCCAACCTTCTCCTGTTATCAACAACTGTTGAGAGCACTCCGTGGCACCCAAAGCAGAAAAAGGACCTAAAGCGTTGTGTCACCAGCTACCCTTTAGAAAAGGCAGAATCTCCTGAGAGGATGGGTGCTCCCTCCATCACTGTCCTGCATGGGGCTCCTGCAGCTCTCTGGGAAGCATTGGGTTGCGAGCAGCGCTCAGCAGGACACTGGGCTGCCAAGAGCACCCCAACCCCGTCTGCGTGCTCACACAACGTGGAACCAATACAAAGACCTTTGCTATCTTGCAAGAATTTGGGTCTGTTTCTGATCCTTCCCCTTGCCCTGCTAAAATGTGGATACTGCCACTTCTTGACACATTTATCCAAAGCAATGATTGTTTAAAAAGCATGCTTCAAGTGAAGACAAATTCACTGTACGTAGTGTAAGAGGTACTTACTATTTGTATATAAACCTGAAATGTGTGCATTTTGTACTGTTCTGCCAGTCCCATACTTTGTGAATGTGTATTAAACAAAAAGCCTTCTGGTTTGATGTAGAAATTCACATCTTTCAGGTAGACACGACTTACTTACAGAAGGTCTTGGCAGGAGGTGGATCAGCCTAGGAGCACTGCTGCCTAACAGCCCCATTTGGAGGGAAATTGCCTAGTAACATGGTTAAGTATTTTGCAATAGCTGCACAACAATTCTTTCTGCTCTTTTTAACACTTGCATTTTTAAAGCCTTACACTAGCTCTAGCAGAACAACTGCAGTGTTTTATAAGGGAGACAATTCTAGTGTTGTGGTGTCTCATGTATTCAGACACTTGGGCTGCAACAGCACTGCTGTGAACTATGGCTGCTTTGTTTTGAGTGTGTTTGGATTAGAAAACAAAACTACTTCATGATGGCCTGCTCAGGGAGTGGAAGCAGAGGAAATAGAGAAGAGATGTGCTCCGTGTTTGCTTACTCCCAGAGGATCTTCATGGAGGAAGCGTGGTCTGCAGGACTGGGATCATCACATGCAGGAGCTGATGCTGATGAAGCCACACAGCTGTTTGTGCATCGCCATTCCCAAGCACCATCGCCTGTTTTTCTTTCTTAGCCAAGCACATTTGACAGCTGTAGCATGAAAAAGGTTTTTAGAAAGTTACTGTAGATGAAGTGTCACAACTTGGCATCGAGGATCACTCAAAACAGTTGTCCTAGGTTAGATCAAGTGACTATAACTTCCTTTCTCCTTTTGCAGATGACCGGTGTGTTGTCCTGTAGATGCAGATCATGGGGTTTATTGCATTTCTATTACTGTGCCCTCCCTGTTTGTCTAGTGGACAGTGCAATCGAGTGTCCCAACATTCCTTACAGCATATAGCACCCACCCATCCTTTTGGAAGCTCTAGAACACTAGGACATTGGAGCAGCATGTGTCCAATTCACAAATACTGCAGTTTAGAGAAGAAAAAAAAAAGCCTAATAAAAAGCTGTTTCACTGAAAAAACAACCCCAACAGATTTTAGAACTATGAAGCTGCTCCTTCCCCAAGGCCTTTTCTGTGAATACATACAGCTTTGTGTGATTTCCAGGTATGCAGAAAACCGTAAATGCACAGTGACAGAGCACAAAGTCACAGTAGCAGAATTCCAGGTCTCTTTCTCTGGGATTTAAAATAGGAAAATATTGGCAAATACCACAATAAAGAAATTAAACTTGGTCTTCAGAACTAGAGGAAAGTCAAAGTCTTAGGATGCCAAGTGTTAGCGAAGGCTCACACTGGTTCTTATTGCAGTCTGCCTCCATGCGAACTGTCAGTCACTGAGATACAGGGTGTTTTAAAACACATCATCTGTATTTTAAGCATTGTAACAACTGAGAGGATTCCTGTGTATTTCCCTAGTAGTGATCCAAGTTGGGAAATAAGTGACCAAGCACTGACCTCTCTAACTGCTTCCACTTAACTGGTATCCTTTCTAAATCTGGATAGGGAATTTTTGCAAATCCTGCCCTTAGGTTCTGTATATGTGATAGGAACTTTCTCATCCTTTGTTAAAAAAAGGCCATAAAACACTGGAAAAGTGGTTTGTTGGTTGGATTTTGGTTTTTGTTTGTATCTTTTCATTTTCCATGAGTCCAAACCTTACATATCCAGCTATCCAGAGAGTTCATGTACTACCTGTCTGTGAGCTTTTTTCTTACCACCTCACTTCAGCTTAACTAAAGCTATTTTTAAGTAGCAATAAAATGATTCAGAAAAGTTTTCTCAGTTACAGAGAAAACAGAGAAAGAATGAATTTAACTAGCTCTTTTCCTGGTTATTCCGTCACTTACTTGCATTTTCCTTTGGCAATAGTGTAGCAGTTTCTTCATTGGAGATTTTGCAATACTGTATTAGTTTCTTGGGTTTAGATACTTCGGTTGAGAATGCTGACTTTGAATGAATATCAAGATTGTTTTGGCACTATAAACTCAAGTCCTGTTCATGCAACCCCACTAACGAACCCTTACAAGTGCCATATTGTCATTCTTAACTACTCAGTTGTTGTAACAAAAACAGAATTAGTCCATGATACCATTTCAAATTCTGAGAAAGTAAGATAAGTCGACAGGCTGAGGCTTTAAAAACCTGCTCCTGCAACAAAGGGGGTTCAGGAACAAAGGAAGTTCAGCAACATGGTATTGTGAAACCAGAGCATCTTTTGAGTCCTTAGTTAAAAGCAAGGTGTATTGTTGCTGATGCCGAAGCAGCCTATACCAAATGAAGGTTGATTGTTACCCTGTAAGAAATCAAGATTCATTTTGCTAATGTGCATGTAAGGATCAGGGGGGTAAAAATCAGAATTTGACTACCATTGGAAAACACCAAATAAAACAAGTGGACAAGTAAGACATTTTAGACTTGATTATTTTGTGGTGGTTTTTTTCCATGTTGGAATTAAACTGCAAATGGTGGCCTATATCCTTATTATATTGTGCCAGGCTGGATGGGGCTTGGAGCAACATGGTCTAGTGGAAGGTATCCCTGCTCATGGAACTGGATGGTCTTTAAGGTCCCTTCCAACCCAAACCAGTCTGTGATTCTGTGAGACATCACCTACACTAAAAACTATCTAAAAAGAAAAAAAACAAACTGGGCTGTGTGAGAAAACAATTATCATTACGAAAACTTTAATTTAATGGTAGAAGTTAGGTATTTGCATAAACACTCGTGCTGTCCTCAAGTCATCCAGCAATTTGACTCTAGGTCCCTATGTCCCTTGCCATGCCCAGCATGGCTGTATTTTGGTCCTTTTCCTGCAGTTTCCTTTGGATTTTCACATCCCATTCAGTGCAAACAAAGCTTTTAACCACTGCACAATGATGCAGTGCTTAGTCTTGCAGCCCAGAAAGGTGGTTTATATTTCAAACCAGCTAGTTCTGACTCATACAAACATAAAATTGTTTCTTCCCAACTGCACACCATCTGGCAGTCAAAAGATCTCTAATATAACACCCACTTAGTTCAACATACGGGATCTCTCAGCAAATGGACATTCCTTTTTAACAGAACTGCTTCACCTGGGGAATACTCCAAATTGCCCATTTTACTTTGACCTCTGCTTCGGGGCAAAATGACATGAACAGCTCCTGTTGGCTTTCTATTTCCCATTTTTTAGAGAACCAACGTTCTCTGTGTTGCTATATAAAGCCTATGAGTTCCTACATTTTTTCTCAGAAAATAAGAAAAATCAAACATTTCTTGTTTAAAACTCCTTGAGAGAAAAGCTGCCTGTGCAAGGGAACAAAACCAAGCAGACAGGAGTGATCACTGGCTTTAAAAGCTGCTTTCCATTTTAATGAAGCAACAACAAAAATACTTTAATCTACAGTGACTGAAAAGTGTAATTCAGCTCTGAAAAAAAGACTAAAATGGCAAAGTGTCTGATCATTCACTTATCTAACTTTACAAGCAAAAAATGTTTCAGTTATTACCAAGGCTTCATCCTATTCTGGGACACCGGATTCAGGTTGTTCCCACTCACACATGTCATTCACAATAAGAAAATCTACAGGTCAAATTTAACTGCCCGCTTCTTTACACATTCCCCTTATGCTCAGCACAGTCAAAACCAAAGAGCAAAGCAAAAGAAGATCCAGACTTTGAATCAGAAGTGAATAGTTCTGCCTAAGGAACAACAGCTGGAGAACAGGGTTCTGCTCTTCCCTCAACTGGTTCAATACTGCCTTATTAAAAAATAATGATGGGATTAGTTGTTAAATCAATAGGAAAAAGTCTGATTATTGGGAAGCTGACTGAGTACAAAGACAGTCACCTCTTCAATATAAAACTATGCTTTAACTTAACACATACAAGCTATACAACACCTGTGGAAATGTGCATGCTAAGTATGTACAAAACATCTACTGTGCTTACACACAGAACAGCAGGACCCTCTCCCCAGTGCAGGTCAGAGGCAGCGCACTGAGCTATGTTGAAACTTGTGCATAAACAGCCAGTCAGTTGATATGACTGGTGGTGTTCAATGCAAAACTGAATTCCAGGGTTTTAGATCTAGGAATTTAAGCTTCAAGAATTCCAGACTGCTCAAGCTAATCCAGTCATCACTTCTACAATAATTATAGAGGAAATGTTGTGATTATTAGCACCAGTAAAGAGAAAAACTTCAAAAGATTTTCTTTAGCACTGCATTTTAGAGATAATGTGCTTTGCTTTAATATACAGTTAAAATGTCAAGGAAATCCAAAATACGGAAGAGTTTAATTCAATACCAGCTCAACATATTTTGGCAATGTAAAATTCAGTGCTGGCACACTGTTCAGCAGAGCCATTTTTACAGGAAAATATCTTTCATCTATTTATAAAAAGCCTGAGGTTGATTAAGAGATGCAACACTGCAAGCCTTCCTAAACTTTGCTCTTGTAGGTATCTATTATATTCACTATAATAAAAAGGACATGTTGAAATACCCTGCACAGCACAGTAAATTTGTAAGGCTGGATGCAGCACATGAGCCTTTCTGGTTGAAGCTGCAAAAGTGCTCTGTGGCTCACCTTACTCATTAACTATGTGCTACACATAGTTAATGCAGAGAATGTGGAGAAACAGAGAAGCACCATGGCATATTAAGAACAAATGTACAGTAATAAACAAATACTCAGAGACAATAAAACCACAATCAGCACATAGAATCAATTGGCTCTTGTGAACAGTGCTTAATTCCCACCAGCAGAAGTTGAAGCAATATAAGCTGGAGCCAAAAAGCAGAGCTGCAGCGCCTAAGTGCGTAAGTATCTAAGTGCCAGATTTTTATGAAAGACAACAAGGAAAGCAGTCCAGGGAAAACTTTCAGCCTGCACCATCTCCAGACCTTCCAAGGAGGCGACTGAATAAGTTTTTAAAAGGTTGGATGCTACAGTAATCAAATCTTGCTAATAGGAGTATTTTTTTGGGGGGGGGGCAGGTGACAGAAAGTTGAGAACATGCACTTCATACAAAACCACAAATTATTCACTTTACAGGAAAAACTGCTAGCAGCAATTTAAAAAACAAAAAGCCAAGAGGCTTTATTACAAGAAAACAAAGTAAGTTCATATTGTTTAAAAACTTTGTCAAACAAAGTCATTACAAGTTAAGGGCCTCAAAAGAGTTTGGACAGGTAGGATCCATTTCCTGAACTTACAGCTTAAAACCACGGAGTATGCATATGTTGAACAATCACACGCACGTGTATAAATGCACACAGCCTTGCATTTTGTGTGTACACTGTAAAACAAAACACCAAAACACACTTAACAAAATGTGGAGCTATACAGACTATACAATTTACACAGCTGGGTGTCATTCCAACCCCAGATATCACCATCTGCTAGAAAACAAATTTTTACTTTGTACAAGACCTTGATATGAATAAGTTTACCCCTTGCTCAGGAGGCTGAAACTCAACAATAAGCTAAACAGTCAAGAGACTTTATTTCAACTTGTACAAAAGGCATTAAAAAACCTAAAATACATGCTTTACTGAATATATTACATCATACGTGTCAGTGTGGTGCACTTGATAAATCCAGCCTAACTTCATCCACTTTTAATGGCATATTTAGTCAAAATGTAAAACTGACTACATTGGAAAACATTTATTTTAAAATCAATTTCCAAGGGCATTAGTTACCTAAAAAAAATAAATTGCTTTAGCAAAAAAAAATTTTTTTTTACTGAGTGAAATAAGGAGCTCCCATTCAGAAAAACGTTCTGTGTTCTGTGTAAGCATCATGTGGCATTTCATCTGATTCCCTCAACCAGGCATGGTACCCAAGAGAGTGTGAGAGGCATTTCTTGTCTGCTTGGCAGATGGATTCCTTTTTAAGATGGTTAAATTGTTAGTCGCTCAAAACAAAGTTTAATTTCACAATTGTTGATTTAGCTAGAACGTCAAAACACATGTGGGAACTGCCAACAAGAAAATACATCACATCTACTGAAGCTCTTTTTGGCCTCATCACGTTAATACCAGACACAGAGTAAGGCATGTAGATCACAGCAATTACAAGTCACTCACAGTCCTTTTGTGATGGGAAAAGTGTTTCACTCTCCTCTCTGTGTTACCTGACACAAATGTTTTTACAGGGCTTTTGTTACACAGAGGTGTGCACTGGTGTGGCTGAATGGGAAGGAGATGAGCCTCTATCAGAGGAGGAAGAAATGGATCGTGTGGCAGCTTCCCGCTGCAAATCTTCAACCTTCTTTTGAAGCTCTGTCCGGATGGCAAGGAGCTCTTTCAGATTTTGATGGATTGGGACCTGTAGTGTAAAGAAACAAAAGGCTTACTTTGACTGTCATAGGAAGTTATCTTCTCAAGCAATCCTTCCACTGTTTCCTTCAGTAATATAAGGAACACAACACCTGTGAACTTCAATATACCAGTATTTAGGGAGTGTTTCTTCACTCATTTGAAATGAAACATTTCAGCAAACTGCCCCTTTCTAGCAAATAATTGTCAAGAAACCTATACAAAAGACTGTTTGCAATGGTTTTGATAGGATACAAAACATATTCCAATAAACGTACCCCTATCCTTTATCAATACCACTTTCCAG